TCTTTGAAGCCATGTAAGATGCAACATTTAGATAAAACGCAATATATTTATAGCTAATTTCATCATAACATAAAGGCTGCACTTACAGAAAAAGGAATTGAGTAATAGAGTAAAATTAATCACTTTAATAATTCACTTTTAAGAGAATAAGATCAATGGTTCCATAAAATAGAGTAAGACACCCTGGCTCTGTAGTTACTCATCATCAGTCATAGCAGCTCAAAATGGATATAAAACACTCTCACAAAACAACTTTCTATTCTGTCTTTGTGTCAAGGTAACGCTGACTCAGCGTCAAGGAGAATCAGCCTCAAAATCTTTTAGGGTTGATGATTAAGGATAGAAGGGGATTTCCCCAACTTCGTTATTTCTAAATGCAAAGATCTGTTCACTTGTTTATTTTATTTGCATTTGCATCTGATCTTTCAATCAGTGGCAATGAGAACGAGACAGCCCTGAGAGCCTGCAAGTGAGAAATCCATTTACCAGACCTCTTTCTTACTTAGCTTAAAAAATACTTAGTGTGTGTCTCTAAAAGCATGAGCTTGGATAGAGCCCTCTTGGCCTGGGTGTTTCCTGGAGGAGAAGAATTCTATGGGAGAAACTCCTACTTGTCCTGCCCCAAGGGTGAAAGATACTGCCAGGGAATTACAGCAATAAACCTCCAGGGCCCTGTCAAGCTCCAACCATCCCAATGAGTTATTAGTCCCTTAGGACTGCAGAGACCTCAGGGAGGCTGAAAAGCTGGCAGAGCACATGGCACTACCCTGCAGCCCCTGGGAAGGCAGGCTGGGCACAGCCCTGCTCCGACCGCCCTCAGCTGCTGCTGGGTGGGCACAGACCAGAGGGAAACGGGTTTCGTGCCCAAAACACCCGTCTGAGCTGGAAGCTGCCCATCAGGGGCAGGCTGAGCTCCCAGCACAGCTACAGGCAACTCAAACAAAAAAAGGCAGGAATTGCTCTGAACTGTTCTCGTTGTGGTGGGGCGGGTGGGCCCAGCCACTGCACCACGGTCACGGTGTGAAAAAACACCTTTCCCATCTGCTGTCCTCTGCTCTGTGCCTGGGCACTGAGTTACCCACTGGCAGTCCTTGCATCACACTTTTCACGGTGCTCTGGTGGCAGCAGTGCCTGATGTTTTCTACAAGGAAATTTCTTCTTAAGTTTTTCACTTTCCCTACTCTTTGCAAAGCAGTCATTCCGTTCATTCCCACAGCCCATTCCTGACGACAAAAACCATGTTAATTTGAAGTTGACCCTTTATCTGAGTAGATATTTACCACGCCCACATCATATATGGCAGCAAGGTCAGGCTTAATATTTCAAAACTAAAGGCAAATCAGGCTGAACACAGGCGAATTAAATCTCCCTGCACAGACACACACACACAGAAAAAAGGCAACCAGATATGTAGGATCTCAGGTAGGATCAGTGTCCCTGCTGCCATTCAGCCTCAGAGTGAGTAGGATTTTTTCCTGTTCTCCCAAGAATTTGCAAACTCTCCCAACCTGTCTTAAATGAATAGGAAGAAGTAGCACATATAACAACTGAAGGAAACTCTGAGCAAAACTATCTGTAACCACTTAAGATTCAAATACGCCAGAAGTTCCTAAGTCATCTGATACTAATTTCTGAAGAATTTAAATAGGACTTGTGCTGTGCTATATGCCAGAAACTATAAATACAATGCTTTCTCTTATCAATCTCTCCTCTCACTTTAGGCAGCTTGATAGCATTAACTCAATATCTGCTCTATTCCTCCTTCCTTCCATGGAACCTGTGAGACTTCGCTGATTTATGCCCAAAGCCGGAGGTGAAAGTGCTGGATTAGAAGATCACACTGCACGGGAACTAGGAGCCAGCCCACACAGGCTTTACAGGAAGAAATTATAGAAGAAGGCAAACACAGGAGAAAACTTAGAGCAGGGACAAATTAGCCAATGGCAAAGTTCACCGGGAGGGAAGGTTGCGTGCTAGACGCGTGTTTACAGCGCTCGCTCCGCTGGGTGAGGAGCTCCACTGATGGGCTCCTGTGGAGAGAGCAGCTGGCACTCCCTCCTGCCACACTGCCAGCACTGCTCTGAAGACAGGAATCTCAGATAATGCAGCAAGGAAAGAGAATCCAGAGTTATAAAAGCAGTCTAATAGGCAAAATAGGTGACTGCTGGAGCTGAAGATTTGTCTTTAGGGAAAGTCGCACACTTCTGAGTTGTAATTCAGAAATGAATTCAGAGATTTTCCTTTAAAACTAAAATCCAGAAGTCCACTGGTTTAGTAAATTTAAATATTCCTTGTCCTGCCAGCCTGGAATCCACAGAGCACTTTGCATGCCATGAAGGTACACTGGTTAACTGGGATGTCAGGTGTCACACGGATCAGCGGGGGGTGGGTGTGCAGAGGAAAGGAGGAGCTGATCAGACTCTAAAGCTCCCTTAAGACACAGGATGCCCCTAAGTACAGTTTAATATTAACAGGGTTAAAAATTAATTACTATTCTGTCATACCAACAAAAAAAAAAAGGTATATTTTGATTTTAAGAACATCAATATTTCCTCCCTATTCTAAGAACAGAATTTCAGCTAAAAAAATGTTACAGAATTCCAGTTCCATTGAATGGTGAACTACTCAAATTTGGTTTTTGACAGGGATACTAAATAGAAAGACTTAATTTTTCTCTCTTCATACAGAATTCGCAAAATTCAACATAAACAAGTGTTTGTATTATCCAACAATTAGCCAGATAAATTAAAATAAGTTGCAACGGAGCATTATATTATGACATTATGAAAAAATCACAAGCAAGTACTTTTAGCTATAGGAAACTATACCAATGCTATCTTTGGGCTAGAACAGATTTTTGGGCTTCAGATGTTGAACTAAAACACAGTATTTTTTTCACTCAGAAAAAATGTTAAAATAAATTAATGTTCATAGCCTCGACTGTTCTTGAGTTTCCTTTCAGATCACTTAACCCTTCTGGAAACCTTTTATAGTTTAGGTCCTTTTCATATAAAAATAATTTCAAAGAAACGTGTTACATTGGATCCTTTGATAACACTGAAGCAAAGCATTGTGTTTTTACCTGCAGGAAAGACTGACATCTGACAAAAATTCACTAAGGCAGACTCATAAATTAAAAAACCCCACAACTACTGTCACAAAGACTTTGGCTGTCTTTCAGTAACTGCTGTGGCCAGAGGAACAGATGACATGAGAATCTAGTTCACAAGACTTCCAGCCCAAACTCTACACATCAGAGATTTTTAAATATATCTTGCTTAAGCATCTAAGTCAAATAGGTTAAGATTTACTAGATCCACTAATTTACTTCTTTTTGAAACGTATCCCTCTGTCATTTATTTATTTAAGACCACTGTCACCCTCTCTAGACCCAGGGTACTGAGGTGCTGGTATCCATGAGAACACCTCTGTGATATTGTTATTTAATGAGTCTTGTTTATTAATTTACTGAAAATTCTCAGTCAATTCCTTTCTTTTGTTTACTTAAAGGCAAAACTTATAAGTTAACCTTTCTTTTCCATTTCATTTGATCTTTCTTTATCATAAAACACTCCCACCAAAATCCCATTTGCCATGCCAAGTGTAATTCAGAAATTATGTGACCTGGAAAACTCAGATGAGGAAATTCAGATACATTTCACTCTGCTTGGCTAAAAAAAAAAAAAAAAAAGACAATGGGTTCACAGAAATATAACTCAAACCCAGAAATGTTTGGATCCCCATGGTGCAGGAAAGCAGAGTGGCAAGAAGGGCTAAATGCTTGGGAATGTTTCCCAAGTCCAACATGGTAGCAGGCAGCCCTGTTGCTGTCAATTCTGCATCCCCATCTGGTGTCCTGTAATGGTTTTAATGAAAGCTCTTACACATGGTTCTTAAAATAACCCATCTGTCTACTGGGGTGAATTAAAAGATGTAAACGCAGTGTAATATGCCAAAGAATATAAGAGTCTCAATATAAGATCTGACTGTGTCAACCAGCAACAGGTTCCAGCTGGGGCAGCCTCATGGAACAAAGACAGCCCTTGGCTTGAAACTGAGGATGTGCTTCTGAAGTCCCAAAGCAGGCTCCCAGGGAGAACTAAAGCTCAAGACCTTGACCAGATGTGCAGTACCCAGCACAGTATGTAAGCTCCCACCCCAACCCCGCTGTCCACGTGGGCAGCCCCGAGCGGAGCAGCCATCTGTTTGGGATGGCTGACACAGGGCACGGAGCACACGGTCCCAGGTAACGCCTGAGCACCACTGAGCCTTTCAACTGCCTTTTCCCTCTCTGCTCTTGCTGGCTACAGCTTGGATTAGCTCATGTTCTATTTTAGACAACCAGGGATAGAGAGGCAGCAGCTCAGCTCCCAGCTCTGCAGCTGAGGAGGGGCTGGATTTCCAAAAGTGCTCCAGGGCCAGGGTTGTGAGGTCCACGGAAACCCAGCAGTACTCCTCTTTCTAATAACTTTCCAACCTCTTCCCACTAAATTAGATAAAGAGTTGGGAATTAATTAAATCCACAGAATAATGCTTATTGCTCTCGTCCACAAGGAGTATTTATCACGGAACAGCACAGGTTGTCAGGAAAGGAGGGTAAAGACGGACATTCCTCATGACCTGCAGTCCCAGAGATTGTTCCCCTCCTAACCAGACCACCTCGACCACCACATGCTGACATGTACATTCTCCAAGACTTCTGTTTCACGGGAAAAACCTGGGATTATCCCAACTTTCAGAGCCTCTAGCTCCCTGTAAAGATGAGGTGCACTCTCCACATCATATGAGCTTACAGTGATCACACTGTGCAACAAACTCATGTGAGACGCGGGTTAGATAACACACCACCCTTTTCGGTTGGTTGGTTTGTTTGTTTTATTTTCATTTCGTTTTAGAGTGTTTATCACAGAAAATTCCTGATCCGTGACTAGAGCTTGTGGGTGTTAACACAACACAAAGGATAGAACATCCCCCAAACCTGAATTAATTCACAGACTTACCAGAGGCTGTCTTGCAATGATTTTCTCTTGAAGGTTGACTGAGATGACAGAACTCTTGGAGATGATAACTCCTACCTTTCGATTCCAGCCTTGATGGTCTGATAAAGATTATAAAACTGCAGCCATTAAATTTCTCGTCCCTGAATTCCCCCTGAGCATTCTCCTGAGATCACCTGAGAGAGATAAACACAGATGTGAAGGAGCATGCGATGGAACTGTTCCAGAACTGATACTGATATTATTTGGCTTTACATTTATGCTAATATCAATTAAGCAAGCTTTATTAATACTTGCTGTCATTTCTTGGAGCTGCCTTACAAAGCAATCTATAATAGAAGCTTTCACTTTGCATTTATGAAGAAAACAAATGACTTTCCACGCTCACGTGCCCTGTACAGTGTGGCAAGAGAGGCAGCCTTTAAAGAGAGGGTTATCAGGAGAATTATAGAATGGAGGGAAATGTTGCATGTTCCTGTTCATAGGAAGGACCATATTCCACAGATTCGTCACATTATCCTCAAAAACACTGATCAGGAATTCCACGGAGTCTAAGCTGGGTATTTTCAACCAGCCCTCCTAAATCCACATGGGATAGTTACAGGAGGGGTTTGTAACCAAGCTGCCCACTAGCAAAGTTCAAGAACCATTGCTAACTTTTCTCTTTCCTTTTGCTTGTCCACAGAAAGTGTGCCAAACTATCCCAATTTATCATCATTCCAAAAAGTCCTTCTCTGCCTAGAACTGCTGGGCCAGCATCCTTACAACATGACATTTGGAATACAGTGCCTTCCTTTGGCTGTTATCATCAAACCCTGCCATCAAACGGCTTCTGCCTCCCCGTTCTTCAGACGTCCCAATTTACCCTCTTTTAAGTTTTCCAAAGAACTACTTTGATCCAATGGGGTCTGTGAGGAATGATACAGTATCAGGATAGAGCAGTAGAGATAATTCATAGAACTACAGAATGGTTTGGGTTGGAGGGGACCTCAAAGATCATCCAGTTCCAGGCCCCCTGCCTTGGGCAGGGACACCCTTCTCTAGATCAGGTTGCTCAAAGCCCCCTCCAACCTGACCTTGAGAGCCAGGTTAAGAACCCATCACAGATTGGTCCTACTGCAAGTTTTCTTTTGAAGAATGGTTATTGCTTCCTAGGTACTTAACTTGGGTACTGATATGACTGATGATTACATTCACAGCAACAGAAAAATAACACAACCAAAGTATTTAACATTTCTGTAGGTCCTATAATTTTAGTGGGAGCACCTCTGAATTTTTGGCCCACTGTGTTGCTGACATCCTCATCTAAGACGAAACACTGACACGAAGATGATAGTGGCTTTCCCAGGAGATGCCATAAATTCTGGAGCAGTGTATGGATCTCAAAATGTGTGAATGTGGAGAAATGAAAACTAGTCAAAGACTGTAGATTCGAGCTCTGGTGGATATTCATCCTCCTCTGCTTACCCCAAAAGCACAGCAAGCACAAGCAAACCTGGTAAACTTCAGGTGTAGGTAGTCCAAGCTTTTACTACTCTGCCTCTAAGAGGTGCTTGCTAACAGAAATTTCATCTCAGCTAAAATATTTTCACACACTATTTGTCAGGCATGGCTGTAATGTATTGCTGGTACTGTGCCTTTTGTGCACAGTACATGCAGCAAGCACCAAGACCATGTTCCAGCTTCACCTGAAATCAGCCTTTCTGAGCTCATCTTAGCTGTGTCCTCGTGACTCTGCGCTAACTTCAAAGAGCCCTTCGAAGACCACACAGCTCTTACTGCAAACAAGCCAGGAGGACAAGCACAACCCCTACCAACAATGTCATAGAGGCGAGACCACACAGAAGGTTCCTGCAGCGCCCTTTGGGCTTGAAGATGTTGGGGGTCTGAAGGAGCTGCCGCCGAGGCCGACGCGCGGCAGCTCCAAGAATGCCCGGTGCGGGGCTGCGGTGAGCACCGTGCCCACGTGGAGGGGTGGAGAGCTGCAGAGGAGCTCTGTGATCAGATAGCCACGCTGGCTCTGCCCCAGCTTGCAGCAGGCCCTCCTCAGAGCCGAGCAGAGCCAAGAGACAGTTCACACCCCAGAGCCTGACAGGTTGCCAGTAAGGCAGTCTCGTAGCCACTGGGAATGTCTTGGGTCCTGGGTGCTGCTTCACAGCCAGCTGGGGGGGTTCAACCCTACACATTCCCTGTGGCAAGAAGGAGAATCACCACTGGGATGAGCGAAAATAACAGGACACACAAGCCATCATGATGGCCATCTTTGCAGGATGCTGAAGATGCATCCACAAGCGAGTGAGGAAGGGAAAACCTCTGGTTTAAAAGCCATAGTGTTCTCAGGTCACTCAGTAGTGGAGTTGTGACCAGCTGAACTACAAAGCTTCACTAGCAGATACTTGTGGGCTCATGTTAAAAACTGACGGAAAGGGAGAGCATCCAAAGAGGGGCTTTGTGGCTGTGGTACATGCACAAATTTTTGCACATTGTCCTTTGCAGGTCCTGCCTCTGGTCCTTCAGGTCAACAAACACAAGTTGCTGCTGCAGCAGAGGCTCCGGGTTCGGTGCTTGAAGGCAGCAGAGTGGGAAGTGCTGAGGAGACTGGGCTGAAGAAAGGGACAGGACAATTCATCATATTTCTCCTTACAAATTCCCCACAGGTGACTTGCAGTTGTCTTAAAACGAGTGGTCACGAATTACATTTTTGGGATTGGTAATAGCTAAAAGTAGTTATTGTCTCAAAGTTCCCCCACAGCCACCATGTCTGGACTGTGGTCACTGAAATTCAGCCATAGACCTGGGGTGGTTAGTTTTGGCCCATAATAAAAGCTATAGGCATAGCTTTTTTAAGTATGTCCTGATTTTTTGGCAAGAGAGCTTATGGTTTGAGTTAATCTTCATTTTCTCATTGCCCTGGGTTCAAAAGAAACTTTTCTTTGTTTGACACTGGCATTTTACCCACGGTAAAAGGAGGCAGTTGAGAGGGGAGAGGGAGAGGGTTAACATTTTTCAGAGGAAATACTGGAAGCGGTGGGATAGCCCTGCTGGAGAGAAAGAAAGAAGTATTCCTTGCTTTGGCTTGGGAATCAGATGTGCATCCTCAGACACAACAATGCCTTGAAGAAAATGCAGTTCTGGATCAGTTGTATGCTTTGTTCCCCTGTGTCTCCCATACCATGACACAATCTTTTCTTGCTGTCTACTTATTTCCCCTTCCCTTTTCCCAGAGCACAGAAGATACCAATATTTTCTCTTTTTGTCATAATTTGATACACACTTGTTACACAAAACACTGAAATTTGGTGATGTTACAGGCTGTCCCTACCCACGGCAGTGGGGTTGGAACTAGATGATCTTTAAGGTCCCTTCCAACCCAAGATGGTTCTATGATTCAACTGCTCAAATATTTCCTGGTAAGGAACCCAAAATAAATCACAACTGTTGCTAAAGCAAATTTCTCTGAAAATGTAGGTTTTTTTAAGTTGTAGTATTTATGGAGAACGCTGACATATGCATTCATCTCCAGATTAGAGCCAGCTATCCTCAGAAGGACAAGGAGTCATACTTATTTATTCCCCCTACAAGCAATAAGCCTTCAACTTTGCAGGACTGTAGGGCATTGAGAAGAAAAGAGGAAACCCCCTGAACCTTCCATGGTGCACGAGTGTGAGCTGCAGTTTGCATTTGAGTCCTTTGCCACTGAATTTCCTCCTTTGCACAGAAGCCAAACGAGGCAGTCCCTGAGTGAGATCCCTGCCAAGACTCTGATTAAAAACTCACTCTCTGCACCTGCCTATTTATTTTACTGCTCTGCACCTGCAGACTGGTTTCAAGAGCCTCATTATTGCTCACTTGTCTCTGACCTCCTTCTGACAAACTTCCCAGACAAAATGCCACATTTCCCTTCTAATGGCCATCACAACAGTTCCAGCTCTGAGCAGACACTAATAACGTCTCAATTTTTTCTTTCCTGCTCACCAAATATGTAAGAAGGAACAGTGATACACCAGGCCAAAAAGGGGAGTGAATGCAATTTCTAGAAAGGGAAATATGCTTTAAGAAATTAAATCAAATCTGGTACAAGATACAAAAGGAGGAAAAAAAAAAAAGAAAAAGAAAAAAAACCACAACAAGGGTATAACAAGACAGTGAGTGACCTTTTCAAGTTCCCAGAGCTTCTACCTAGAAATTTATGAATTCTGCACCTGGAGAGGCCTCCTCTGCAGCGTTCAGCTTTGCACAGCCCTTGGACTGTCTCTCAGTCCCTCATTTCTGTTCTGTGTGAGAAGTGGATGGACCCAACCCTGACTTGCCTCATTGCTGGTGGTGCTGCCACTGGCCAGACTGGAGCCCCTGCTCAAGCCAGTCTGGGGACAAGCTGCTGGAACTCCAGGCTTTCTTTTTAATGGGGAAATCAAATACTGCTGGGTTTGTTTTGTCAGGACACGTTTTTCTTTAATCCTCCAGCCAGAGGACGTGTATACGATGTGCACTTCCAAAGGCTCAGCAAGGAGCAAATCTTACCAAATTCCTGCTGGTTATCCAGCCTGAGGGTATCAAACCATCTCCAGCAGAGAGCCAGCTGTGCCATACAAAGAGAGGATTTATTTAGGCATGTTGGTCCAGACAGATGTGAAGGGTTCTGGTCCAGCCAGCAAAAGCTCTGGTCTCATTAGTTCAAGCTTCTGTGTTATAAACCAGGACCAAAACGGGAGAGGAAAAACGCAGATCTTGGATCTGTCCCATCAAAGAGAGAACAAAGTTTACCCAGTGAGTCACAAGTCACAAACCAAAGTGTATATTAATCTTCACCCTGACACATTTCTTCCATCCATCAGATCTAGCATTGTGCTGGTCTAACAGTGAGGATACATCATGTCATTCATGACACATGATGACTCCCATATGTTCAGAGAGCTCTGCTACCCAGTGGAACAAATGGGTGTTTACAGTAAAATAAGTACCAAATCTAGCAAAACTGAAGTTACAAGCTAATTAGTGCAAGAGGCCCTAAACCCCATGATATACAGCACTCATATTTCTTCAGCAGATCCAGAAGTACAAATTGAGACAAGAGTCCAACAATTGAATAGTAAAAAATCAAAACCAAAGAAACCCACCCAGAAAGTCACCCTGAGAGAAGCCAGAATAAACAACAGCACTGCCGAGCTCTGATGTA